TTGGCGCTCTACAAATAAATTGATTTGAAATTTGAATTTGGAATATATTTGCTTGGAATTCTCTCCACTACCTGTTTGAAGACATTGCTGTGTTCATTGCTGTATTCTAAGCAGTCAATTTTGGCTATGTTATTGTGGTGGGTGAAGCGTTCCTGTTATTCACACTGCGTTTTCACTGAAGTGTCCATGCCAGCTGCCTAAGAACCGAAATCTTGGGCAGACATTGCAGATTTCAGCACAGAGAAGCAGAAGACATGTTAATGGTATGACATTGACAGGTGAAAGTAGGAACGTCGATAAGCTGAGTTCTTCTTGCCATTTATATGACAGCTGGTGTTGCATCTGAATGCCATTTAGAGACTGCATATAAATGTGTACTAGTAAAATTATCTTATGCCCCAAAAACAAAAATAGATAAAACACTATTTTCCTTTTGGGGACTTTAGGCTTCTTGTAGAGAGCATGGGTGTTGTCAGTCCAGTCCAGTTTGTTATTGAGGTGAACAATACATACAATAATAATAATTAATAAATCATAATAATAAAAACACTAGTGTATTTATCAAAGGCCAACTCAGTGTAGATAGATAAGGCGGGCAGCAGCAGCAGAAATGCTCTCTGTGTGTACATCACAGGCGTGCGAGCTGCAGCAGTTCAGCGAGCCGCAGCCATCACACGCTGCTCAGGTGTGCTGTGTGACCAGGGCTTTACATTTAAGCCAATTCTCCCCTATAGTGTTTAAAATAAAACATTATCTAACAATTAGACAAGAAGTGATTTTAATTACAGATTTTGTTAAGCCACCTACATATATGTTTGACTCCATCCAACACACGTGATTAACTGGACTGTGAGCCAGGCCAGGATCAGTGTAGGACCTTGCGAATCGCTGCAGCCGGGTTCAGCACATGACAGAGAGACTGAAACAAGAAGAGTCAGTCTGCTACGTCAGCACATTAATGCCTGTGGTGTTATGTTGAACCATATCAAATGAATGGAGAGTTCAGGCGTCCACACACTATTGTCCATGTTGTGTAAGTAAGGTTATTATGTGGAAATTTGGACCTGGCAGGACATGGAGAAATGAAACTGTGCATACAAGAAAGGGTCATAGTGAAAATTTGCAAAGCGATCCTCATCTGTTGTCATATGTTGTTGTTGTCTCACATTATAAGGAAATATTTATGTAGTTGCCCTTTTTTTCTCTTTCTTTTTTTCCCCCCAGGATGTTATCACTTTGGCAATTGTGTGAGCCATTGGAGTGAGTGATTGTTGAGTATGGCTCCTGGGTTTGTTGTTGGGAGAAACAAAGGATTTGATTTGATTTGATTTTTCTCCTTCAGAGAGATGCACTGAGAGGATTTTCCTCAGACCACAACTGCCCTCTATCACGTTCAGAGAGGATATGCCCCCATGAAACAAACAAACAGATAGATCACTGCAAATGATCCATGTATGAGTGTGTGTGCATGTGAGACACAGGGGAGCACATGTTATTCTGTATATGAGTCTTTTTAACATTGTGTGAGCTACATTGTGTGTGTGTGTGTGTGCGTGTGTGTGTGGTTGGGGACAGATCTGTCCTCTAGCTGGCAGATGCCCAGTACAGCACAGCTGGGCCCCAGCCACAGGAGGGGTCACAGGGACCCAAGATTTCCCCTTGGCCCCTTGAGGCTCTTTTAGTCCTCGCTTTCAGCAGTGCTGCTTGTAACACACACACGCGCATATTGATGAAGACAAACATTTTGCTCAGACAAAGCCCCTACGAGCTGGCTCTCATAATGCGTTTGAAGCTGATGCCCTGCCCTGCCTCCAGCTCCTGCTCCCACAACCCCCGTGACGGCTGCCTCATTGCCTTATAATTGATGACTCCATCTTGTGATCTTCTCTGCTTGAACATGTAGAGGTCAAGTGGATAGTTGCCACTGGTAGTCAAACATATCTGCCAGCTGTTTGAACTCTTCTCATCAAGCCTAGTGCTGCCACTGCCAAGCCACTTTGCTTTGGCAAAGAGGTGGAAAGTTAGTTCTACCTGCAGCAGAGGCTTGTTGGGGCTTCAACTGACAGATCTGATGTTCCAATGGATGGCAGTTTTCAAAGTTAGGTAAACATTGTTCGGTTTGTTATCAATTGTCAATATATGATGAAACACCTGACCACCAGAAGGGCCAAAGGATTGCAGTTTGGCCTATATAGTATAATATATTTACTTACTTATTAACACATTAATTAATTAATTAACACTGACAATTATTTTATCTCGCATTAACGTTTTTTTTTACTATTATTATTATTCTCAGAATACACATCCAGACAAACCATGTGTCACAGGAGGGGAGTGGAGGGAGGCTTCGGTAAACTACGTTGGACGCAGCATGTGGGAGAAGTATAGATAAACAAAAGCAAGACAAGCTAACAAATGCCATAGCAAAGTGGATAGCTTCAAACTGCAGGCATATTTGTATTGTGGAAGATAGGATTGCATCGAATGACGGCACTATGAGCCTCCCTAGATCGCAACGAATGACGGCACGTATGAGCCTCCCTCAAGATGCACCATCACAAGAAGAATGCACAAGTTGTATGAAAAGGAGAGGACTACAAAAGCGACGGCGTTACAACGTGCACCAACTGTTGCTCTCACTGGAGACTACTGGACATCGCTGGGTAACCATAGTTACCTCGGAGTTACAGTGCATTATATTGATGGACAGTGGGAGCTGCATTCACATGCTCTGACTGTAATGAAAACAGAGAGACAGTTTGCTTGCACAGCAGTGGAACGTTTTAAATAAAGTCAGCACACTTAGCACAGATAGTGCAAGAATTATTTTAACTGCTACTGTGTAAAAGGAATACTGCTGTTAAAAAGCAACTTATTTGTTTGTTTAAAGTGTAAAGTTGTGTGCAAACCAAATGTTATTGCACTTTTGTTCATAGAGCAGTACTTTTAAAATAAAAGTGCACAATACACTACTTTTGAATTCATTATTGAATTTTGCGTAACTGCGATCATCATCAGAGGATTACAAATTTTAATCGTTGCCCAGCACTAATGACAGATCAACTCAAGAGATGAAGTCTAAATACATAAAATTATGCACTGGGACCAGAACAGTTAGATCATCAACACCATGTAATACTTTTAATAGAGAAGTAATGTAACAATTATTTTATAGGATCATAAATAATAATAAAATAAATGCTACATACCATCAACACTGAGAGATTTGATTAGTTATATTTGACATGTAGAAGTGCAGACAAGTACAAAAAGCTTCCCTGAGAAGATTTATTGCATTTTGAAAAAACAACAACACATACACTCCAGTGGCCACTTCATGGGGTACCACTGTAAAATCTACTGCAATCCAGTACAAAAGCTCAGCCATAAATTCAACCTTAAGATAATAATGTTCAATGTTTGCAGTTCAACACCACTGCAAACTATAACCTCAGC